ATAGAGGCACTGTGTTAGGTTGGATAGAAAGTTGGGCATAGTTGGAGCTAGGAAGACCTGGCTTCAGACATTCAGCAGCTGTGTGACCCTGGGCAAGTCACTTAACCTTTCTTGGCCTTAGTTTCCCTACTTGCAAAATGACCCAACTTTTAAGGTCCTTTCCAACTCTAGAGCTATGATTCTATGATTATAGAAAGACTTACAGGACTAAAGCTGGATCAAGCTTCTAGCTCCTCAGTTTACATATGAGGAAACTGAGGCCTTTGAGATTTAGGTGGCTTGTTCAAGATCTTACAGATAATAAGCATCAGAGTCAGGATTTGAATCTAAGATCTTTGACTGTGGTACCAGTTCTGTTTACACTGTATCTTGGGAGGGAGGATGGAAATTATAGAAACTTGTGGAAAAGATATAGTAGTTGCTCTGGACTTGGGAAACTGATAGCAGTGGAAATCCCAAAGGAAGGTATTCAAAACATAGGAAACTACAAAGCAAAAGGATGGAGGTGGGAAAGAAAGTGCAGATTTGTTTCGGTACTAGCTGGTTGATAGAGTCCTAGGCATCTGAAAGGAACTTTATTATCTAATTGAGTGATTCTCACACTTCAGTTTCAGAACCCTTTTACACTACCCAGTGAGTTTTTGTTTATGTAGGGTCTATCCAGGGATGTGCTGGTAAATGTCTAACAATCAGCTCTCTGGGATAAGAAAGATTTTCACAAGACACACTTTAAAATTCAATCTGTATTAATAACATTTTCTCCATCGCTTAAGTCTAGACAATCAACAAAACGATAAGCCAAACCCTGATTTGTAACATTTGCTGATTTCCAAGGTGTAAATGCTCACACTGAAAATTTAATAATCAGCTGTTGTGAGCTAGTATGAACTGGCTCCAGCACATACCTGGTTTATAGCTATCAATACTTACTGCATTAGAAATTAAAATTTCCTCAAATTATTATGAAAATTGTTTTGACCTTGTAGACCTTCTATAAAGGAATCAAGAACCCCCCAGGGATCATTTCACCACATTTTGAGAATTGTTAATAGTCCAACGTGGTATCAGAGGAAGGATTTGAATCTAGATCCTGACCCCAGAGCTCTCCTATTCTTTTCCTGGTACTTTGCTGTACAAAGACAGAAGCAACTTAAGAGAAAGATATAAAATGGAGGAAAAGCTCATTTGGGTGGGGCAGAGATCAGGTAACATAACCCCCCAATGTGGCCAACCAGATTAAAATATAATTCGAAAATGTATAACAGAATAAATTAAAAATGCAATACAACAAAGATAGTGTTAATTTGTTGTTTTCTAAGTCAGTATGAGGCCTGCAGGGATCTCCTTCTGTTTGAATTTGACACCACTGATCTAGTCTAACTTACTCTATAAATGAATGAAGTGAGGCCAAAAAAGGTTGTGACATATCCAAAGGCACTAGCAAATAAGCAGAGCTAGAATCACATGGCCACAACCCTTGTTGAGACCCTCGTGGACTATTGTAACAGACTCCTAATTGTTCTCTTTCCTTCAAGTCTCTTCCCGTCTTCCACACAACTGACAGAATGATATGGTTTTTTTTGGGGGGGGGGGTGTGGTGGCAGTTGGAGTTAAGTGACTTGCCCATAGTCACATAGACAGTGTCTGAGGCCAGATTTGAAGTCAGGAAGATGAGTCTTCCTGACTCCAGGTCCAGCACTCTATCCACTGCACTACCTGGCTGCCTCAAGAATAATCTTCTTAAGACACAGCTCTGACTGTGCCATTCTTCTGCTTAAAAAGCCCCAGAAGCTCCAGAGTAACTAGCATCAAATACAAATGCCTCTTTGGCATAAAGCCCTTTACAAGACCAGGCTGCGGGCTACCTTTTCAGACTTCTTAGACATAATTGGGAATTATGTCTCCAGATGCTCTATGGTTCAGATAAACTGGCCAACTTGTTGTTCCTCAAATTCAGGATTCCATTTCCCCAAATTCTTGCCTTGGCACAGGCTGTCCCTGAATGCCTGGAATACTCTTCATCCTTTCCTCAGCTTCTTAGAATTCCTGGTTCCTTTCAAAGGTCAGCTCTTCTGTCATTTCCTATTCAAGGGCTTTCCTGATCTCCACAAGGTGATCACTTCAATTATATCTCATTCCCACATTATTCAGCATTATACTTAAGCATGTTATTTCTTCCAGTAGAATGTTCGAACCTTGAGTTAGGTACCATTTTTGTTTTTATAGCCACTGGTCCAAGCACAGGGCCTGGCACTTAGTAAATATTTGTTGGTTTATTGATTATTTTATTTAGGGTCTAAATGAATGGGCAGCTAGGTGGCACTGTGGATAAAGTGCTGGGCCTGGAGTTGGGGAGACTCAATTGGTGCTTTTGAATCTGTCCTCAGACACTTAGTAGCTATGTGACCCCAGGGAAGTCACTTAACCCTGTTTGCTTCAGTTTCCTCATCTGTAAAATGAGCTGGGAAAGGAAATGGCAAACCACTCCAGTACCTTTGCCAAGAAAACCCCAAATGGGCTCGTGAGGAGTTGGACACAACTGAAAAAGGACCCAACAACTGCAAAAGGAGTAGACCTGGAATTGTGAAGTGTGTCAGTGATGGAGGGAAGAGGAATGGAATAAGCATCTGTTAAGTACCTCCTATGTGCCAGACACTGTGTTAAGTTCTTTACAAATATTATCTCATTTGATCCTGAGATGAATAAAAACCCTGAGAGACAGAGTTTCTGGGTAATTAATCAATTTATTAATTAGGCTAACCAGCAATCAGTGCAGACCTTGAAACTCCTTAAATCCCTTCTGAAAGGGAATGCCTCTGACAAATGAAATTCAACCCTGATTAGTGGACGTTTAATGAAGAGGTGGGCTAAAAGTCTTTTTCTTTTCCTGCTTGATCAGCAGCCTCAAGGCATCTGGGCTAGGGGAAGCCATCTCCATCCAGACGTCTCTAGCTAGTTTTCTCATTCTGAGCTGAGTTGCCAAGGACTGGGTGTTTCTCCTCCATGCAACGGTTCACCCAGACTGGACTTTAGAATTCTAAACCAGAAATTAGGTCTCCCAGTTGGGTGGAGTCCCACCCAACTATGGCATATTTGCCTTGAAGGCTAGCAGCAAATCTCATCATTCTGCCATGCCCTTCCCAGACTTGCTGACCTTTTCAGGAGATGGGTTTTAACAGAAGTAAGAGGAAAAGGGTGAATCACAAATTAATAATTAGTTATTAATTTAATAGTATCATATTATAATGTGTGTAGTATAGTATATATGCAGTATAATATGTATAATTCTATAGTAGTATAATATCAGTTTCTCTCAAGCAGTGTCTCTCAATCCTCACAACAAAGCTAGGAGGTAGCTGCTATCATTATAGAGGCCAACAGCTAGTAAGTGCCTGAAGCCTGATTCCAGATCCACTGTGCCACCTAGCTGCCTCATTATTTTTAGATTCAGTAATAATCACTAAATAATTATTCAACCAATTATTAATGGAATAATATAATAAAAATTACTATTAATTTAAAAATTTCATTAACATTTTCAGTTTGAGAACATTACTTCCTGCTACTTAGGGTGGGCTTCACCTTACCTCATGTCTGAGTACCCTGGAGAATAAAGTTGAGTTCTGGGATAATTTGGGAATTCTTTTTTTCCGTCATGGGCATTGATTCACAGGGGGAAAAACAGCAGTGGTCATCAGATAGACAAAGGAAAAAACAAAAATCTGGGCTTGTGCCCAAGATTAGAAAATGAATTGTTGGTTGCCATGCCAGTGCCAAAATTTCCCTGCCTCTTGCTTCCTTCTTTACACATTTGAATGACTAATAGTGTTAGACCCTATTCAATAAAAATGCCATTAAAAATATGAAAGTTCCTGTTTTCTAGCTTTGTTCACAGAACCTGTGATTTATTTGGTATAGGATACTCCCAATGGGGAAACTCCCTTTACCAATACAGATGACTACCTTCTCTACAATTTATAGTCTTAGTTGCCTGGGGCAGTAAGAACTTGACTTAACTCTGGGGTTATACAGCCAGAATGTATGTGTCTGAGAGGATTTGAATCCTGGTGTTATGACTCCTCTCTCTCTTTCTCTCTCTCTCTCTGTCTTTCCTTCTTTCCTTCTTTCTTTTTCATTTATTTGTTTTTGTTTTTTGGGGAGGCAGTCAGGGTTAAGTGACTTGCCCAGGGTCATACAGCTAGTAAGTGTTTGAGGCCGAATTTGAGCTCAGATCCTCCTGGCTTCAGGACCCTGCACCTCATTGACCCTTCTGACTCTTTTTTCTAAAAATATTTTGCCCTGAGCTGAATAAAATTAAAGAATGAATCAGATACAGGTGGGCAGCTAGGTAGCGCAGTGAATAGAGTGCTGGGCCTGGAGTCAGGAAGACTCATCTTAATAGTTGTGTGACCCTGAGCAAGTCACTTAACTCTGTTTGCCTCACTTTCCTCATCTGGAAAATGAGTTGGAGAAGGAAATGGCAAACCAGTCCAGTATCCTTGCTGAGAAAACCCCAAATGGGGTGACACAGATCAGACATTACTGAAATGACTGAACACTTTATCAGAATTAAACACTTATTATATTTTAGGCACTGTGCTAAAGTGCATTACAAACATGAGTAGGACAAGACTGAAAAAACAAAATCATGACGGATTAGCAGCAATAGATACTGGCCCTTAGCCTGTTCCTCCCCCGAACACAGCCCTTTCCCCACCTATCAGCTTTATTTTGGAGCCTTCCTCAATTCATAGTTTGAGCTTTAAGAAGCCAGGGACCGTTTTTACCTCCTTTTATATGCCTCAGTAGAGAGGAATACACTATGGTATTTTCATGACCAGGAATGCTGTTTGTAGAGCCTGGGGTTTCTGCTTGTCTCCTGTGGTCTATGAGAAGTTCTAGGTGGGAAGAAAGGGGAGCATAAAGATGGAAAGAGAGTTAAGTGTTTGTAGTAGTCAAGGCTGCATTTATTTCTGCAATATGTCTCCATTTTTTGATAGGATGCCAAGAAGAAGTATGATAAGGAAACAGAGAAGTATTGTGGTGTCTTGGAGAAACACTTGAACTTGTCTTCCAAGAAGAAGGAAGCTCATCTTCATGAGGTAAGGCTGTCATTGAAACTCTTGGTTTTCAGATGAAAGATGGATATACTTTAATCTTTTGGGGGCATATTTTAACTTCCTATGGGCAAGTCCTGTTAGATTTTTAGTGATATGGAATGACCGTGTCCTTAATAATATGAGAATTCTTTTTTAAAGTAAAATCTTACTTTCTGTTTTCCTCACAACATTATTTCATTAAAACCCAGATATTGTGCCTTAAAAATATCTTCTCCCTATACCAGTCTTTTCATAGGGTCTGGTTGTTGTAGATCTATTTTTTTTTTTAAGGATACTTTGGCATTTAAATCAGATCCCCTAGTAGAATGTAAGCTTTTTGAGACCAGTGGCTAATGTTTAATATTTGACTTTGTATTCCTAACACTTAATAATTGCTTGTTGATTGATTCTTTCCCACAGATCAGTTGCTGTTTTTAAGCATTTGATGTGATCCATGGGAAGTTACATTCCTTGCATTCATTTGCAACAAACATTCTCCTGTTCTGTGCCAACCTCTAGGGGGACAAAGACAAAAATGAAGAAAATTCCTGTGCAGCAGTGGGAGTGTGAGACATAGGGAAACAACAAAATAAAAATGTTTAGAAAGGAATTTCTGGGACGATGTGAGCACCTGGGGAGAGGGAGGAATCCGGTGAGTTTCCTTTAGGAGGTGGTACCTTGAGCTGAGTTTTGAAGGAAGAAAAGGATTCCGTGAGTTGGAGGAGAGGAGCGAAATGTAATCTGGTCATGGGACACAGCTTGTGCAAATGTCTGGAGATGAGACATATAGGCTTACTACTGTATCCACTGTGCTTCCTAGCTGCTTCAGCTTGAGAGCTAGGAAGGCAGTTGTCTGATGAAGGCCGGAACTACGGTAGTGTCTGGGGAAAAAAGGAAGGGTATGAGGCATATTGGGGAGGGAGAGTCAGCAAAGCTTGACTATTGATTGAGCCCAAGGAGGTATCATTTTTTGGTTGTTCTCTTTCAAGTGGAATGACAATTTGACCTCTCTGCTCAACATGGTGAATTTTTGACTGTGTTGCCTGTTCCTTGTTAGCATGAATGCGGAAGGTAGATTCCCGACTTCATCTCTAAATTCTGTTCCTCCTTGCACGGTGATAATTAATGATAATTAATTTTATCCTGAGAGGTTTCATCAGAGGCAGTAGGGCTGAGTACTTGGTCTGCAGTAGATCTGATGATTTCAGGGGTTGCTTAGTTAGAATCCACTTTGCTAAATATCCATGAGCTAAGTCTCTTGCTTTATTCTTTAGTTCTCTTCTCTGAAATGGTAATACAGAGAGTTGATCTAGTTTATGTGTGGAACAACTAGCAAATTAGAGCTGGAGTTAGGAGATCTGAGTTAAAATCCCAGATCTTAATAATAATGATAATAATAATAGCAACAGTAATGATAACAGTAACTTATAATACCTTAAGGTCTTCAAAGAGCTTTATAAATATTATCTCATTTTATCCTCATAACAACCCTGGAAGGTAGGTCCTATTAGCCTCATTTTACGGAGGAGGAAATTGAGGCAGACAGAGGGTAAGTGACTTGTTCACACAGCTAGCTAGATTTGAACTTGGGCCTTCCTAACTCCAGTACTCTATCCACTGTGCCACCTCACTTGTGTGATCTTAGACAAGTCACTTAACCTCGTGGCCTCAATTCCTCCTTTGTAAAATGAATTGGTTGGACTAGATAACTTCTGGAGTGCTTCTAGCTCTCAATCTATGATCCTGTATTGATTGAGGTCTTTTAAAAATTTACTTATTTATTTTTTAATTTATGGAATAAAACAAACATTTCCATAACATAGCATAATAAAAAAAGATCATTGCACATGAAACAGCAAATCTGCTATGTACAACTTGCTATTCCTTTTAAATATATAATAAAGTTATCATGTAAGTTTCTTTTTGGTTTCCCCTTATCTCTACCCCCTCCTTCCCTGCCCTAGAGATGGCTAGCTACCTTTAGAAAGAAATATGTTTATATATGTAAAATCATTCTATACATATTTCTATCTCTCAGTTCTTTCTCTGGATATAGATAGCGTCTTCCTTCATACAAACTTTGTGGTTAGTTTGCGTATTTATAATAGTCAAAATTACTTATTTACTCAAAGTTGTTCTTAAAACAGTATTGCTGTGGTTGTATTCAGTGTTCTCTTGGTTCATCTCATTTCACTCTTTATTATTTTGTGCATCTGTCCGTGTTTTTAAGAACTTTTGACGACAAAATGAAAAAAAAAAACACAAAATAAATTCACTACCATCATCTAACAAGAATAGAGTGCCTACTGTGTAAAGCAGTACTGTTGGAGATACAAAAGAAGGTCTACCATTTCCTTATCCTAGAGGTAGTCTGCGAGGCCATATATGGATGAAATTAATTCATACTTCTCAGGTAACATAGGATCTGAGTTCAAATCCTGTCTCAGACACTTGTGTGTATCCTGGGCAAGTGTGACCCTGAGCAAGTCACTTAATCTCTTCTAGCCTTAGTTTCCCCATTTGTAAAATGCTCTTAATGGGTCCTTTTATGATCCTATGATGTTAAGTTCTATAAGATTTAGACAGAAGCATATTATATAGTTGGGTTATTTGGACAGTTCCCTCTTCTTGGTGGTTTTTGAGGTCATAATTGCTAATAAATCACGAGTCATTCATGGGCCTGATGATTGATGATGAATGGTGCGACTGTGATGGCTAGACGTGCTGCTTGAGGAGTATCCTGACCAAATTCTAGGATGCTCATTCTAGAGATTTGGCCACCAAATGATAAATATTTTTAATTACAATAACTGTTTAAAAAAAAAAAAACCCAAATCAACCCATAGGCAGGGTGAGATTAATAGGGAGAAGAGGTAAGAAAGGAACAAAATGATAAAAATGGTGGACCTAGAAAACCCTTAAGAGTCAACTAAATATTAATGGAAGCAATATCTTCAGCACAATTATAGTGTGTAACCAGTCCACACAAATCATTGGCATTTCTGAATGATCAATAAAATCCAGAAGTCATTGATCTTACCATGCTGAAATCAGTATTTATACAGTCAACTGTTAGTTCTCCATGTGTAAATACTATTTAATTTCTAGCTGCCAACCTTGATTTTGTCAGCTGGCTGTACTCTGAGATCAAAAACCAAGAGGAAGTTATCCTAGTAAGAATTAGTCTCCCTGATGTCTGCAGACCTGTGTTTGAAAACTACCTTTGATGCTGTGTGACCCCAGGGAAACACCTACGTTCTCTGAACCCGTAGGATAACAATACCTGCATTCCTTACCTCTTGGGGTTTTCGAGACATGAATGCTTTGTTATCCTTAAAATGCTATACAAAGGTGAGTTATTAGCATTTTGCTTAGCTAATAGTAATAATTCTGCACCTAAACCATCCCTGCCTGCTTCCATATAGTTTCTGACACTTGAGAATTCTGAGATTCTTCAGGATGAGTGTTCCCTGTGTGTAAGTTGGAGATACAGTGGCCAAGAAATTCATGGTCCTGCAGCTGTCTGGCATATGAGAAGCCTCTTGCCATGTAGCTAGGGTGGTTCCCGGACAAGAGAATGTGAACTCAAAATGGGAGGGAGTAGAAAGATTACTGACTGCACGGTGGAGTAGTTGGAGGACCTGGGTTTCGGTTCTGGCTTTTCCACCTGTGTGACCTCAGGTAGGTAAGTCACATAATCTCTTTCTTAGACAACTGCCTTCCAGCTGATCTCCCTGGCTCAAATTCAAGTAGCTAGGTGGCACAGTGCACACAACACTGGGCCTGGACTTAGGAAGTTAGGAAGACCTGAGTTCAAATCCAGCCAAGAAACATGACCCTGGGCACATCACTTAATCTTAGTTTGTGTAATCCTCATCTGTAAAATGGGGATAATAATTGCACTTCTCTCCTAAGGTTGTTGTTAGGATTAAATGAAGTCGTATTCGTCAGAAACACTTAGACAGTGCTTGGCACATAGTAGATGCTATATGAATGCTTATTCCCTTCCCTTCCCTTACCTAGAGGGAGAAGAAGGGAGTAAACATTTATTAAGTACCTACTGTGTTCTAGACACTGTGCTTTACACATAACTGATTTTACGTAAATTCTCTTTGTCAGATACATGTTTCCTATCAGAAAAAAATATGTTCTGGCAACAAACATTCATTATTCGCCTTATAGGTTCATGGGACCATGCTAGGTACGTGTTTATTTCTCTAAAAGAGAGGTTGAACTAGCCCCATTTTGTGGATTTCATCCAGTGACTGACAGTATTCCCTAAATCAGTTGTTCCCCACATTTTAGCCCTCGTGCTGAGTTGCCTTAGGCCAAATCCCTTCATTTATTTGGGCCTCCACATCCTCTTCTATAAAAGGGGTTGACTAGATGATCTTAGATCCCTCCCAGTTCTAAAGCAGTGATTCTGTGTTCCTAATAGTGCTGTTGTTGGAACAAAGAGAAGTGTTCTCAGGCTTTGATATATCAGAGAGAAGGAATTGGATGGTGATTAGCTATTCTATAATAATGACTAGTATTTAGTGCTTTTAAGATTTGCAAGGTGGTGTTTACAAATATTATCTCATACCAACTTTGAGGTAGGTGCTGTTATTACCCCCATTTTACAGATGAGAAAACTGACTTCCTCAGGGTCACCAAGTTGTTAAGTGCAGGAGGCAATTGGATTTGAACTCAGGTCTTCCTGTCTCTAGGTCTAGGGCACTATCCACTGTACCACCAAGCTGCCTCTGCCTAGCTTCATAATGGCCATGAGCAAAAAAGGTGTGAGACAGTGGTGATCTATCATGTGGTCCTAAGAGGACACTGAACATTCAGAGTACTAACTGTGTATTGATCAAATGAAATAATAATTGTAAAGCAATTAGCACAGTGCCTGGAACATTATTAAGTGCTATATTTAGCCATTTAGTCAATAAACATTTATTAAGCACCTATATACATGTTAATTATCATTAATTATTGTCTTCAGAAATAACAAAGGGAAG